AATTCCCTCTTGTTAATAATTCTGGAAGGGGACTCAAAGGGCAATACAGTTTTGACTCTTGAGTAGTAGGTGTATGAGGACAGCGGTAGTCACTTACTATCAGAGGCCAAGTGCGAGTTTATTGCACATATATTCGATCGTCACGCTGAGGGCGTGAGGCGCTGCGATTGGCCCTCACTGAAATCTTAACCAATCGCAACGCTCGCTGTTGCGCGCGAGTTGATGTGACATAAACTCGCATTTGGCCCTCAGGTGACTCGAAGTGACTATTGACGCCCATGATAGCATGAAAATCAGTAGTCATTAATGCGTTGCCGGGCCTTTAAGGCTGGAGTACGCTATTTTTTGAAGGTTTATAGTTAAACCGCCGTAAGCTTGACCCTCCTGATGGTTTGGGGGACGCGGGGCGGGGGTGCATTCAACCAATTAGCTAGTGCGTCGCTGTCCGCCGGCAGTGACTGACGTGAAAGCATGGCTGTACGTGTTATTTTTCTTCAGACTGCTACACACGGTATTATTTTGCAACATGGATAATCTGCCGACTCTGCGTCACAAAAAGATTTAAAGACTTGAAGTTCGGCTTACAGAGGTTCTACTGTTAAAGTTCTAATAAAGAATATTTATTATTTTACTTAATTTTGAAATTGTATCTGAATATAATTTACATGATGAAAATAAGGTGATTTTATTAAAATTATCTTTCAGTATTAAATTTTACAATTAATCATAAAAACTTACAATACACTGACTTTATAATACATGGAAATAAATTCGATTTTTATTACATCGTGTGTAGATTAAATCTCAAACAAATAAATCTGAAGATATCGAGTTAGTACATCGTGTCATGTATAGCCGAGCGCATCACCCGCCCCGCGTCCCGCAAACCATCAGGAGGGCCAAGCTTACGGCGGTTTAACTATAGTTCCATAAATGTTAAAGAAAATTCCGGTAAGTGCGAGACGTACTCCCCCACCGAGGGTTACAAATTATAAATAGTTCAGGAATCGAGTTTTCTCTGAGCTTTTCTGCAATTCAGTTTTCAATCTATTATTACTTATATTATTGTGTTTTAAAAGTGAAATTATTCCTCAATGATTGATTACGTGCTTAAAATAAAGACTAGGTATATTTTTATGATTTCTTTACAAATATATAGTTTTCAGATTTTACCGTGTACTTGTAGTATAAGACGATGTTACTTGCCAAATTTCATAGTTCCAGTTCAACGGAAAGTAACCTTTTTATTTCTGTACGGATATCACCTCGGATACCACTTACCGGTGGCAATGTCCTACTCGAACCGACTAAAACCGCACGCCGTCTCAGGTAACAGTAGTCGGGGAACCAGGTGTACCCTAGAAAGGAAATCCCTGGTGCCCTGACGTACCTCGGGCCGTCTACGGCGGGTAGACGACGATCTCCAGGAAGGGCGCGCGCGCTTCGCCGCCACCCCAGCCTGCTTCTGCTAGGGTGACAGATGACCTCACCTGTCACCCCCAGGCCGGCGCTTATGGAGGACGGAGGTCGTTCTGCGACCTCCGGCTCCGAGTCGTCTGCGGTACCTGGCCCGTTCCCGAGCCTGGCGGGCCGGAAGAGTTCTAAACCTCTCCCGGGCCCGCTCCACCATATCCTTCGCAAGCATAACTTGCTCGCAGAAAGAACGGCAAGTACCCTATAAATTTTCATGCCCTTGAGTGTTGAAATTTTTTTTTTTTGCTATTTTATACTTTTTACGTTAACTTAGAAGTTTGATTTAGTTCACAGTTTCAAGGGACTGTAGACCTGAGTATCAATTACAACTCGATACCTCCACGCGTTCCCAATATAAAGGGCTTTGACCGACAGTCGAACAGACAGACAGACGGACAACAAAGTGATCCTATAAGGGTTCCGTTTTTTCCTTAAGAGAAAAAGAATTTCAAGTTTTAGGTATGGGACTTTAACGTGTTCGAACTTTTGCTCATACTCCCCGATCCTGGTTATTGGACCCATTCAGACATATGAAATGAATATATATATGTGTAAAAAAACTCTTTAATTAGTAGGTATAATTTAATTAACATTACATTAAAGTTCTTGTTCTAATAGTTACATGTGTTAGAAATCGACACAGTTAATTTACGTAAACTACGAGTATATGATTCATAAATAAACATTTTCTCACAAATTATAATAATTATTATTAAACTGTTCTTAATTTTCATTAAAATATAATATATATACGTATGTGTATATTATGTAGTACTGTACTATTATAGTTAGGGTTCCGTAAACGTAAAGAAACAGAACTAAAAACTACAATATCAGTTAGAGAACCGTTCTGTGATTAATTAAGCCACTGTAATCCAAGAGGGAATTCAATTATAATTTATTTTAGGTTTATTGTGTTATTATATATGGGACAGATGAGCAGCCGGGTCACCTCATGGAAGGTGACTACCACCGCCCATAAACCAATGCAACTCAGGAGTCACAAGCGAGTTGCTGGCAAAAATAAATTTTGAATAACTCCTGAACATATACGTAAATAGCAAAAAAAGCCGTGTGGTGTCGTGGGACACCCGATAGGAACGAAGTTGTGACGATCGAGTAAAACTGATTCGACACGATTTTAATTACAACGCCATCTATGAAAGCGGCTATTACCTACATATTCTTCAGTTGGCTTCTAATTAAAACAATTTATACATTGGTAAAATCTCCTTGAGAAATGATGTCGAATACAATATTTTTTGCTCAACCTAAGAACATAAATTTTAATTTTACTGAGATGAAAAGAAATGATTTCCTATCTATTCGATAGATGGCGCTGAATGACTGACAAGTGACAATTCAAAATAAAAAGTGTCGTTACAACTTTTCGTAAGATTTTTTTCCTTCTAGCCCCCTTTCACAAAGGATAAGGAACCCCGCGATAAGGAACTTCGTTCCAAAACTTACACACAGCAGTTGAATGACAGGAATCTAAGTGTATTTGGATTCTGTATCTATCTCTTCTTTAAAGACAGGCTAAGTGAGTACTGAACTGTACCCGCAACAGTGTGATCTGGTGGTGTGACAACTACTCAACTTGTGCGGTTTACGAGACACCTTAGAAGAAACCATAAATTGATTAATAATAATAAAACCATCAGAATATTCACAGTCTACTAGGCAGAGCCTGCGCTATGGTAACCAGACTACTGATAAACACACTTAAATATTTCTAAATACATATGCTAAGCTATCCTAGCTAGTAAAATGTTACTTTCTGTTTTTTATCCCGAATGTTTTATTTACGTACGTCCCTTGTATAAAATATCGAAATGTTTCTCTAAAATATTAGTAGTATTGACCGTTTTCTGTACATGAACTAACGGTACTTACTGTAAACCTTAGTGGTTTTACAGTACCAAAAAACCAAAAATGTTATTTACCTACATTGTTTAAGTGTTAAAGTAATTAAACAAAAAAAACCTACATATTACAGATAAAATTACATCTAGACACAGTGCTCATCACACATTCATTTTTCCTAGGTGGGAAATAGTGGGAATCAAACTCACAACCTCCGACGTAGCAGTCTGGGTCACTAACCACTAGTATAACATAAGAAAAACTATACATAATTATTAGTACGGCACCATTTGTACCGTAGGGCTGGTTTCTATTGTTACATAAAAGCAAATTTTATGTAAAAAGATTTAAATGCCGATGCTATAACAGTAACTCACCTATATAGATCTTTTTTTCTGTGAGTTTGTTGGTTTATTTGATATGTTTTAACTCCTGAACACTTACCCAATCATTTTTAACCATGAGAGGGTCTTATTTTTCTTCTTTTTTGGTATTTGTTTGATGTCAGGGTAGGGTGGAAGGGGTATATCGGACTCTTACCGACTAAAAACCACCCCGGTGTTCTTCTACCTGCCTATGGCCCGGAGAACGAGAATCACAAGCACGATTTAAGACAAAGGAAACAAAAGAATCGAGCAGAAACACTCACTCACTCTCACACACAATAGAGAAAATTAAATCAATATTGGTCCACCCATTTAGACACTATGATGCCGCAGATACAGACAGATATTACTGTGGGAGGGCCATGCTTCGGCATAAATGGAACAGTTCTAGAGGAGTGACACCAAGGCTTCACAAAAAACCGGTGTTAACCCATTTTTTGGTGCTTTTCACAGAATGAGAGAAGTCACTATAGATGTAACAAAATCACAGTGAACTGTGAATGAACGGTGATTTATCATCCAGTTTTCATCCGTGTGGTGACGGATTAAGAATACGTAATGTCACCACTATTTATCCCGTGGGTGTCGTAAAACTCGACTAAGGGAGAAAACTACGCTTTTTTTTTTTTTTAACGTGTGGAAATCCCCTCGGACCGTCACCCCTCCGGGGTTTGCGGCGGGGTGGTGTGTCGAACTCGGACCGACTAAAACCACACGGTGTGCCACTCTGCGCCTGTAACAGGAGGTAATCTACAAGGATAAAAAGGGTTCTGAAATATCAGATCCGGGTGAGTGCCAGTATTTCTGCTTAACATTTTATTATCCTCCGATCGACAAATGGACAAAACTCATTCGTCTACAATTTTCAAACGGAAACCAATTGGCATTGACAATCTGTCGATAGGCAATTGTGTGAGACCGACTTTGTCTAATCTGAATACGATACTTAAGGTCAATGGCACGCAGTTTAAAAAAAAAAACTTTTTTTTATTACATCTACTTTTTATCTTTGCAAAGGCACGCTTGTGTAAAATCCATTGTTTTTTTTTTGTTGGAGATCGTGTTAAATAACATGGGCTGTTTATAATTTTATTAGTTTATTTCATAATTTAATATCATATAAAATCAATATCTAAAAATTTAAAATGCGTTTTTAAATGACAAATATTTTGTATTGCATCCCCTAATCTAAAAAACTTGTAAGTACAGTGAAAGGTCGCCCCGTGGTCAATATAAAAGAGACCTGCGCAAGCGCCGCGCCTCCGACTTGCCGCCATGACACCGTACGCGCGATTGGTACGTTGATTTTATTATGATTTTTTGATAAAAAATTCCATGGAAACAAAATAAAACCTATTCAATTAAAAAAAATGATTCTCCAATAATTGACTTTTTTACAATTTGCTAATCAATTTTTTTCGTTTAATTTTACTTCAATACACCAAGACTTTTAAGTCTCCTAAGTATTATAAAAAAAGTGACATTTTTTTTAAGTTCAAATGTACTGTAATTGTATTAATTATTATTTGTTTGTCGAAACAATTATTTTTTTGTATAATTAAGTGAAAGTTATGGGTTTAATCATAAGTGATGTTGCGGAATGCCGCCATTGTCTTCCAGTTAACAATTCCAGTGATGTGTTGATAACACCAAGTGCCAGTGATAATCTCTTAGGTAGTGTAGTGTTATAAAAGTGTTAATTTACATTGTAGAGTGGTTGTAGCGAGACTAGGGTATCAACAAATGCTTCAAATTCAGAAATAATCTACTTAGAAGTGGTTTCGGAAGTGAATTAAAATGGGATTTAGAATTTTAATAAATATTGTCAACTGTTATTGGAGTTGTTCTTAAAACAGTCCAAGGCCTGGGTTTGAAAATGACAATATTAACTACAATTTAACGTTAAAGTAACTTAAATTAAAAAAATAGAATTATCTAGTATAAATTTTCACGTGTTTGCCAAATTTAGCAGATTTTGATTGTTTTTTTCTCAGTCTATTATTTGATATTTATGAAATGTTGTAATTAATTTAATTAGTCATTTGTTTGTTTTGTATTGTATTGCCTTACGGGTTGTTTTATACAGACCTCATACTTATTCAAAAATTCCTGTCTAAGGAGAGGCCTATTTCCACTACTACTAAAGGTAGTAATTGATGATGTTGAGTAATTCTAAAGTATTTTTTTTTTTAAATCTTGATTTGTTGACTTGACTTGTTTCATCTTGATGTATAGAATAGTTTTGTAAAGAGTTTTAGTTTTATTCCGAATGTCGATGTTCCGATTTTCAAAAATCCGAATTTCAGAAAATTCATTTTACCGAAGTCGTAAATGCGATGTGGTTGTTTTCCGATTTTTATACGTTCGAATAATCAAATGCTCGATGGGTTCTCGGTATTTAATACTTCGAATTTTTAATACTTCGAATAATCTAATCTTTTGTTGGTGAATCATTTGGGTCAGGTTAGGTTAGAACTGTGATCAGCGAAAGAAAAAAAATACTCTCAAGAAAATAGAAAGAATTCGAATTTTTGATGTTTCGGATTACCATTAAGTGAGACTTTTTGTTAGGCGACCTATTGTAAATCGGTATTTGAGCATAGTAATTATAAACGTTAGGAATATTGAAATTTTTGAATTATAAAAAGAGGATGATGATCAATCGGAGTTGTTAATATTAGGAATGTTGAACCATTCGGAATTATGGAAATCGGTATTTGTGACTGATGGAATAAAGTTTTTCGTATTTATGTAGTGTACCCAATAAACATAAATAGCGGCTTAAAGAACTGGCAAAATATTATTATACATTTTAACGTAAATATGTCATTTATATATCATATATATAATATTTATGTCATAAACAAAAACACCAAGGCAATTTATGCTTTAAACGGGTATAAAACACGCGACTCTTACGGTAACAGTTGAATGCGCAACACTCTACACGTAAATGGCCGTACAAGTATTATATAAAAAACAGTAAGTTAAACAAACACATAAATAAAATATAACAAAAATTATCAGACAGTAATCAAGTTTCGTCAGTTGTTTGCAATAAAGATAATATTGATCTGTGACATACCAGCAGGTACCTGGGCTGCGCGGGCGCAGTATGTCATTGTGCAAAATATAAACAGTAATGTAACTCACGACAGCAATATACAAAGTTTAAACCATCTATTGTTAAAAGCTCTATCTAATTAATATATTTGGTAGTTTGCATTTAATGTTATCAAAAATAATTGACTGCACGGATGGCGTAGTGGTTTAAGCGGTCGCCACGCCGCTTCCTACCACGCCGAGTGTTATGGGTCACATGGGCCGGCACTTTGTGTGATCCACGAATTGTTGTTCTGAGTCTGAGTGTTCTTTGTGGCCGTTTCATGTATGTTTGTAAAGTCCCCCGCGACACAGGATATATTCATAATGGGGCGTTGTCTTTAAAAAAATAGTTATTGAGTAATTTTAAATACTTTAGTTACAACGCGTTGAGTCTAAATTCCGCCCTCCAGTCGCCATTTTAATTTACTATATAGATAGACGGAAAACTCACGTGCCCGCAATGCGCATGGGAGTTTACGGGGAAGATTGGCTACATAAACTAGGATAGGACTAGATTTTGAAGTGATACAGTGATACAATATCAAAAGCACAAGTGTGCTTTTTCACATCATCACATCAAGAGCCTCTAAAAGTCCCCTACTGGACATAGGCCTCTCCTTAGTTTTGGCCTACGTACCTCGCTAGTCAGACGGGTTGGTATAGGGTTTGTTTCAAGTTTCCCTTCTCTTTGCAGTTCTGTTGTCCTGCGTAGTTTGTTCCCTTAGTCGGCTCTTACGACACCCACGGGATGAATAGGAATGGTGACTACTCCGTATTATTAATCTGTCATCACACGGATTAATTAACATCACAAGAAGTTTAATAATCTATGATTTGTGCGATAAAAATTAATGTAGGTAGCAATTCATTTTACGTTGTCTAGTAAAGCACGCTAAGCATAAGTGAATTTTGTTGCATTTTATGGATAAATTGAAGTATATAATTTGGCTCCTAAAGAAGGCATTGTGTTAGTTTATCGTTTGATTTCTCGTCATATTCTGGCAAGCTATTTGTCTGTGGTATGTTGTTCCTATAAACAATGCGATTTCATGGACCTGGACCATGGGATTTCAGGTCTTCCCCCAGGTCTCCTCCCTAACCTAACCAGGCTCTATCGCTTGGGAACCATTCTAATCATATCCAGTTTATAACTTTACAAAGGAAATGGCTCGACCATATGCGGTGATCGACTCGTGATATTAACGTCGGGAAATTAAACAAGTCTTATTTGGTGTGGAGTTGTTGCGTACAACAGCACTAGTGGCTGACGATTGAGCCTTAATGTCCTTAGTTTTATTAATTGTAACTTGTAATTATTGTGTCAGATTACTTTATCGATTTACTTATCGCTATATAAAAGTCAGACATTGACTGACCTTTATAGTGACCTTGTGGCAATTCAGGTGTTTCGGAACAGTCATACATGTACATACAAGTACTTCCGCATGATTTAAATATATCTCCCACTATCATATACAATCAGTACTCAATCATGAGACCCTGACACAGAATTCAAATCCGCTTAACGCTTAATAGATACATAAGCTGATTTCAGTTTATCTCTATAAATTTTGAACTTGATTTGGACCTTGGAAGAATAATAATAATATATATAACACATCTCCCACACGGTCGTCTGATCCCAAACTAGACAGAGCCTGTACTATGATACCCAGACTGCTGATAAACACACTCATATAGTTTCAAATACATATATATTATAGACACAGAACAAAATGACCGTACTCATCACTCAATATTTGTCCTGGGTGGGAATCGAACCCACGACCTCCGGTTTAGCAGTCAGGGTCACTAACCACTAGACCAACAATCCCGTCGATGACAATGATTTAGATATTACAATGAAATTTTTGTCTGGATATTTCAAGGGCATAGAGGAGTGGTACTACTTATTTAAGTTTACTGTGGCCAGTGAATGGACCGTGGCCTCTAAGTGCGACTTTCCTATCTTGTCCCTTTGTGCGGTATTATTATAATAGTGGTCCACCTTTATAGGAAATAAAAAATGATAAACGAGTTTGCAGCAATTTTGTACTAAAAGGAATTTATGCAGGAAAGTTGATTTCTACCCAGCTGTGACCTTGGTAGCTTAGACAAAAGTATGTCTGGCATTGGTTCCTGACGCACAATGATTGAAGGAGGCAGATTTCTGCTATAACCGGAGCCTTTCGATTTGCGAGCTCTATAGAAAGAATACTACAGTTAAACAATATTAGAAATAATTTCGTGTTTCGATGAGTCCATAGGATATTTATAACAATAATAATAACTTCTCACATCTCACACACGGTCGTCTGATCTTAAACAAGGCTGTGCCTGTACTATGGTAACCCGACTTCTAATAAACACACTTATATATTTCTAAATACATACATATTAAAGATAAATTTCATTCAGACGCAGAACAAATGATCCTGCTCAGTTGTCATAAAATCACAGTGATCTGTGAAAGACCGGTGATTTATCATTCGACTTTTTACGTTCGTAGGTTAGGGTTACTACTTACTCCCTAGTTGTTGCCTATTTAACAGTAAATCTAGTAATTATTTTATACATAACTAGCTGACCCGCGCAACTTCGTCTGCGTCTCTCAATAGTAATAAATTTTCTCCGTTTTTGAAACATTCTTCATTGGTGCTCCGCTCCTATTGCTCTTAGCGTGATGATATATAGCCTATAGCCTTCCTCGATAAATGGGCTATCTAACACTGAAAGAATTTTTCAAATCGGACCAGTAGTTCCTGAGATTAGCGCGTTCAAATAAACAAACAAACAAACAAACTCTTCAGCTTTATAATAGTAGTATAGATAATTACAAAAATACTAGATTTACTGTTAAATAGCGTCTAACCTTACCTACGTATGCAAAAATCGAAGTTCACTGTGATTTATAGTGTCTAGTGCTCACAATTATTTGTCCTAAGACTGAACTCACTTCCTCTGGCTTAGCAATCAGGACCACTTACCACCAGACCGACAGACCTCAATAAATCTAAATAAAAAAAAAAACAATAAACTCAATATCAATTTTTCTTTCAAATAATTTGAATGTTGCAATAACAATTTCATTGCAACAACGTTATTGCGTTGTTATTAACGTTATGGAAAAGGTTAAATGTACATAAATAAATTCATGTGTCATAAAAATGTCTCAATTTTTACACTCGGTT